AGCTGGTGATGGTGATATCCCTCCCGTTGGTTGATACGATACGAACGATTACGACTAAACGACGACTTCTACAGGCACCCCTTCTTCGAGACCATTCCGACCCCGTCAGAACCCCTACGTTTAAGATATTTTTTTTCTTTTTATGCTGAAGTTGGTAAGGGGAGTCGAAGTCGTCGTAGATTTCGTTTATCTCGTAATTTCGTTTAAATATCAAAGTCAAAACCCCATCACCAGCTCCGTAACACACTTTATTAAGTTATACATTTGCCGCACAGACAACAAACAGATCAGATGCGCTCGAGCTACGAACGATGATGACAAACTGACAATAGGCTGTGCTATATTTTTTGTGAGCAACACAAAATAACTTATTCTTAGTCATATCCTGTGGAGATAAGCGTATGGTTCGGCTCTCATCGCCCAGCGTGGGAGCGGAAATGCCGAGATTCCTAGAAAGCGGCGGTTAAAACGAGCTGCTCTCAAAGCAAGGTCGGTTAAAACAAACTGTATTATTTTACGATCGAAGGCGGATAATCCGATTATCGGTTAATACGAGGTCGGTTAAGAGGGGGTCTACTGTACTTGCCTGTTTTGCACTGAACCACTGAATGCTACGTCAGAGCGCCGAGCGGGTAAATTGACGTTGCCGTTACGAATCCTAGCTGTTTGCCTACTTAGTTAAATATACTCGCGAGTAGTAGAGGTTAAGCCGATTTTGTTGATATTTGACAAGTAAATAATAAGAAAGGAAAATGTTTGAGTTTTATTTAATCCCTCAACCCCTTTCAATATTGACGTACTAGGCCTAATAATAATCGGCAACCTAGACGTCGCTTGCGTCATCCATTCCACTAACAGCGACAGCTGACACTGGGTGATAGTGATAGGTAGTGGTGTGCAGCGAGTGCGATGCATTGAAATTTCAATTCGATTCTAAAAAGGGATGGGTAGATTATCGTCATCGATACCACCATCCATTAGTTACCACTTGGACATTGGTATCGGTTCGGTACCAAGACTCGATTGTCAAAAGTCGATTCCAATGACACCGACACCCGACAGGATAAATATTTTATTTTAACATTTATTAACTTTATAGCTACAGTATTAGTTTTGTAATCACGGTTAACAATTTTCATAGCCAACTTAGAAACTATCTAGTTCAAAACAGCGACGGTGCCGGTGATATTGTTTAGCTTCAGCTCATTGCACAACACAATCTAAATTTCAAGATGTCTGTCAGACTCAACTCATGAGACAACCGGCGCGCGAACGTCCTGCCAACACGAAATTAATTATACTAAACAATGTCTGTATCAATAAGTCAGACATTTAGATGTATTATTTTTATTTTTAGTACAAAATAAATAACCCAAACACGTCGAAATGTTTAGTTTCATCCCTGCATTATACGCATCATTAGAAAAATTATATTCAACCATTAAACTTTAACATCGTCATCGTCGTATGGTTAGGCTTGCTTTATATTGCGCCAAAAAGTAGGTCCATATTTATCTGTACTATCTACCTGATTAAAGAGTTTAGTGAAGTTTTAAGTGCTACTATGACACAATGCATTTATTGAAAAATATCATAAGCCTTAGTCCATGTAGATTTTGTAATGTTATAACGAATGGTGAATGTTGACAATAAAAGTATGTAACAACAGTTCTCATTGGTCAGGAGGCGACAATGCACTACCATGTCAGCCAATCGACTTTCGTGTTTCAATGGAGCAAATTACGATTGCTTAGACATTGTTTTATGTGCTTATTGTGGGTGGGAAGGGTATCGATATCTTATCGTGATTCGAGATTCAATATGTAGTACGTGTTCGTTTATGCATAATGAGTATTAAAGTATAAAAAAACTAGGTTAGTTACAGACAGGTTCAAAACATCGATTGTTCCGATCCATTTTTGACACCCCTACACGGAAGTTATAGTGGCGTCGTGCATAAGGGCCAGGCAGACCGGTTCACAGTGAATCCACTCTGCCGAACTTATACTCTTGGTATCATCGAGAACTAGGGATGGACGAGATTGGATTTTTAGTTCGAGACGAGACGAGACGAGATTTTTTATTTCTCATAAAATTTCGAGACGAGATCGAGACGAGATTTCTCTTCTCATACACAACGGGAAATGCACGTTCGAAATTTTTACCTGATTTTGTAACATTGTTAGATGACTGTTTAAATACTAAAATAATGATAATAGGCAAGAATATTTACAATCTTTCATTAAATAACATCAGCATAACATTTTTTTATTAATCACGCCTAACTTATTAAAAATGCCTACGATTAGGAAACATGGTGATATCAGTTAGGATAGAGTTCAACTTATCCTAAAATAAAATAAAAGCAATATTAATTTTTATAAAATAGTTACTTGTCTTGACTTTTTTATAGTAATAAAACATTCCTCACACTGCTTACACTTAACAAAACTTCTCAAATGTTATTAAAGTAATATTATTAAAATAATGAAAGTAATATTTACATTAAAAGAATTAAAGTAATATTTACATTAAAAGAATTAATTAAATAAGAACGCCTTCGAAAAGGAAACGCAACTACAACACGCTCCTGTATTGCGGGTATTGCATTGACTTTCTGCAGGCGTTTTTAATTTTTTTTATTTTTTTATTCTCGTCTCGATAAAAATCTCGGCCAAAAAGTAATCTCGTCTCGTGTAACGAGATTGAAAATTTCCCGAAATTTCGAGACTTGACCATCCCTATCGAGAACATAGTCAAACACTTTTGTTACTAAATAAAACTATGGCATGTTTTATAAAAGCACTATTTTGGAGATTCTAGTCCCAAATTATAATCTTTATTGTAGGCTAAAAGTGAAACCTATCTATTGCCATACTTTTCTCCACAGACGTCGACTTATTCTACAATCTCTTTAAAAAATACCAGGTTTCAGTCAAAATGCTTTTGTAAAAATTGACAGTGTGCTGTTTTAACACAGTCATTCCTTGACCACGATAGATAGTTTTTACTCACTATAGAGAAAAGACTCTCCTTACAAAAAGTATTCATAGGCCAAGATGTATGTAGTCTTTTAAAAGTACAACTGCAATTGCTTTTAAAAATAAATACAAAAACTGCCAAATGATTTAGATTAATACTTGTAGGCCTAAGCCTATTTATAAATTAGAGGAAACTTTACTAGATCTCATCATAGTCAAATTCAAACATTTACAGTGTTTTAAAATAATTAACACTCAGAAACGTTTGTGTAATGGAAATCTGCAAGCGACTGACGCCGACTGCGGAGGGTAAGGGAGGGCATGTGAACCAGGCTTTAGAGCAACTTTCTCTTTTCCTCCCCCATGTCCCGTTAGACGGTGGGCGGGGCTTCACACTAAATAAACACTCAGTTCATTCATTCACAGTAGAGAATAGTTTTTGTGGCAGTGACCCAGTGACGTATGTCTCTTGTCTGCTCTTCGTAGCTCACACGTAGATTTATTTTGAGAAATTAGAAGTGATAATCTTTATTAAAAATAAGTGAAAAACTGTTGACATTTTCAAGGAAGAAACGTTAAGAAATAAAAATGTTAAAAATAAAAAGGTTGTTTGATTAGTTATTCTGTATTTCAAAAATATCCTCATTTATGAATGTGTTTTCAGCTAGACTTGGTGACTTTTTCATAGTTAAACAAATTTTGAAGATATAATTATAACTGTTTCTATAAGCCTATTTATAAATTAGAGGAAACTTTATCAAATCTCATGCCTTAGTCAAATTCAAACATTTACAGTAGGCCTATTTTAAAATAAACACTTAGTTCCATATTTTTGCAATTGTTTTTTGCAATTAATAATAAACGTTTAACACCAAAATATAAGTTTGATACACATACATATTGTGTTTTTTTTTTATTTTATGATATAACAGTTTATAATATTATTAGTGGAAGAAACTGTGCAAAAAAGATAGGTATCGGAAGTATTGGTATCAATAGGTATCGAGAGTACTTTGGTGGTATCGGTATCGGTATCGGTATCGACAATTTTTTGTATCGGCCCATCTCTAGTAAAAATGACTTGATAAAGGACTTAGTCTCCGATACATGTCGTCATGAAAAATAAAATAATTACTAAAAGGGTACTTTGTTAAATATGTTTTTGATTTTTATTATATTAGTAGCCCTAAAAATGCAAGAAAATAATATTTATATATATACAAATTATATATATATACATATATAAAAATTTGAACGAATAGTGTTTTTGGTCTCTGGGGACATCAAAATGAAAAAGTAAATCGGTCCCGGGCCTAGGTTTTACCGTGCCACCTACGGTAATAGCTACTTCCCTATAGGGAAATTCGCTAAAAAGCTGATGGTGTTTGAAAACAAAATTTTAAGGTGCATCTATGGTCCCATATATGAAGATGGAATATGGAGAATACTCACTAATAAAGAGATTCGAGAGCAATACAGAGACCTGGACATAATAGCCCAAATCAAAAGCAAAAGACTCAGGTGGGCAGGCCATATTGCAAGAGAACAAAATGCAGCAGTTAAAGCGATAAATGAAGGACTACCAAGAGGAAAGCGGCCCTTGGGACGACCACGACTTCGCTGGAAGGATCAAGTGGAAAAGGACTTGAGAAGATTGGGGGCAGAGGCTCAATGGATGCAAGACAGAGAGAGATGGCGAGGCATGGTTGGCGAGGCCAAAAACCTTCTGAGGTTTGAGTGGCCTAATAGGTAAGGTAAGGTACTTATAAGGTTAACATGGGAAACTCCAGAGCCACTGGGGTGGAGCCTGAAAGGACTTTTGAGATGAAAATGTATATGTTAATCGGGAATGTGAGCTATCATCACACCGAATTTCAGCCCAATCTAACCAGTATTTTTCGCGTTTACTTGTCACAAACATACATCCAAAATTTCTTGTTTATAATATTAGTAGGATTGCATATCACTTACTGAGCACATGTTTTTAACACATGAAATACAATTTCCAAAGAGAGTTACCTTGAAATAACTAAAAATTGGTCTATTTGTCTATCTGTTAAATGATGTGAGGGTGTCCAGACTAGTGTTTCTAAGTCTTCTTCTTGTCTGAGGTCTGCTTCATCTGAAACAAATGTTTTACACAATTGTAATTACCAATGTGAATTAAAAATTAACATTTTGTTAACTTGTTAAACTTTTGGTGTATGTCTCACAAAGCACACTTCAGATAGTTCCTCCTGTACAATTCAACTATGTTGTATGATAATTTTACTTGTTATAACCATTAAACACTGACACTGAGAAGTTATCGTGTTGCCATGAAAGGTCACCAATTTGTATGTGCAACTACTACAAAAACTCTACTTATTTCAGAACACAACTTTAACAATAAAAGAAATACTACTGAAATATACTAACCTTCTCTCAACATGGGCGGGATGTCAGATTGGTATCTCGAACCAACTCTGATCTCTCCTTTGTCCGCTAGCAATGTTTTTTGCGTCGGGTCAAATACTAGACAGTAGAAGAAGGTATCCTAAACAAATGATGTCCAATGTAGTAATTTATCTCAATACAATCTCCACATAAACTAATATTGTTGATTTGGAAACTATATTTAGCTAACATGATCATTGAGATTGAATTTTTCTCATTTTCATGAGAAAATTGTTGCTTATTATTACAGGGAAGTAGGTATCACTTTGTAGATTATTGCATGTGAGAGTACCTATCCAATTCTCAAACATATTAAGATCTGACACTACATAAAAAAGCCAAATTTAAAATTTGAACAGAATTTACCTATGGTCTAAGCAGTTATTGTTGTTACAGAGTGCTCTCAGATATAACTCATTGCTACAGCACATTGCATTTCTACATCACTGCAGCAGTAAATCGTTTTTAAATTTCGTCGTCTAAGTTTTGACGGTAACCCTTTGGTAAAAACTGTGCCTCGAAGTGAACACGAAAATCTCGTAAATCATAAAACGTTTCGCGATTATTCCATTACCATAACAACGCGTTACCGGTCAGTAATATCAGAAAAACCTTGAAGATCTGGTCCTGAGCTAAGGAATACAGCTCTGTTAACTCTTCTAAGCGTTCTAGAATTGACACCGGACCCTTCCAACCATCGAAGCGTATGTTGCATTTACCTGCCAAGCCGCAAATTTGTTGGGTATCAGGACGTCTAACGTCGCCGAAGGACGGACCTGAACGGACTGCACTCCAGTTCGGGTCTGAATATCCGTAGGTCTGCCTAAAATTTGTTGTAGCAGCACCGCTGTTTGCCGAATTCGCGTACGTCGTTTTGTTAGGGTCGGTTAAACCATAAAAAAGAAATTATCGGGGTTCATCTGTGCGTACGACGCGGCTGGTGGCTTAAAGGTTTGCACCATAAAAGCCAGAACTCGTTTTAAGCTCTCAGTATCAGCGTTGGGTGATAATCCCACTATCTCCCTAACACTCTACATCTCATCGCAAAGGTGATTAGGCACCAGCCAACGATCGTCTTGGACGTACGCTAACTTTTATGTTTGAAGTAAATGCATAAATTGATAGGTAAATTAGTTTAATAGAATAGAACTGAACTTATTCATGAGTCAAAGCTAGAAAACTAAAACAATATTAATAACAACTTAAAAGTCAGCAGCAAATAAACAATGTTAAAACATATCACTTCTTTCCACCAAGTTTAGGCTTCTTCAAATAACCTCCTCTGTGGCCTGAAGGTCCTTGTTGATCTTCGCAGCTGAGAAGGTACATTCGGGTGGGGTAAAGCTTCTGCAGTGGGTTTTCTAGATTGTAGCTGAGGAGGGACATTCGGATGTTGTGAAGCTACTACAGGGATTGCTCTAGGGTTAGGAAATACAGCTGGTGATCCATAGTTTTCTGGATTTTGTACTTGGAAATCTGAAGAAGACAGTAGCTGTGGTAATCGTTTAATGCAGGGGTCGTCTTCCTCTTCCGATTCATTGTCTTGGTAGCATTTCCGAATTTGACTTGTATGTCTTTTAAAGTGTCCATTAGAATCAATCAACCATGTGTTCCTACCTAACTGTCTAAGTATGGTTCCTATTTTCCATTTTACTTTCCATTCAACAAAAGTACGAATGTACACTTTACTCCCAATGGAAAAGCCTCTGCTTTTATTATATCGCAGCACTTCAGAAGGTTTATCTCTTGAGTTTATCTCTTGTGAAGGTTTGATAAAATCTAATTTAGTTCGCAGATTAAGACCCATGAACAAAAATGCAGGTGTTTGTCCAGTTGCAGTGTGAGGTGTAGCTCGATAGCGAAATAAAAATGTTCTCAAGTTGTCTGTGAACAAGCTAGGCTCTTTATTGTACTGTAATTTGTTCAGAGCTCTTTTAAAGGTATCTACATTTTTCTCCACTTGTCCATAAGCACTTGGGTGAGCTACTGGAGTCGTAATATGTTTGATATTATTGCGCAGGCAGAAATCTTTAAAACCTTGCGAAGTAAATGAAGTTCCGTTGTCTGAGACGATTGTTCTAGGTATTCCATATTTACACAACAAATTCTTGAGCGCTTCTACTGTCTTTTCTGTTGTAATAGAGGACATAGGTACTATTTCTGGCCATTTTGAGAAAGCGTCAACTACTAAGAGAAACATTTGTCCGTAAAATGGTCCAGCAAAATCTAAATGAATTTGACTCCGAGGTTCACTTTCTTTAGGCCAGTTGACTAGATGTGTTTTACTTGGTAAATTTTTAGCAAACAAGTTACATTCACGGCAACGGTGACACGTCTGTTCAATTAGAGCATCCATACCTGGCCACCACACATGACCCCGAGCCTCTGACTTCATTCTGACCATGCCATTGTGAGATTCATGCAAGTAGTTCATGATGTAAGTTTGGTATTTAGGTGGAATAACAGTTCTTATTCCCCACAGAAGACAGTTATTATGTAGAGTCAGTGCATCTTTCTTAGAAAAATAAGGCTTCAAGTTCTCATCTGGACACTTTATTAGGCCAACCAACTTTTACATAGTGCATCACCTTCTTCAAAACAGGGTCCTAACCGACTCCTCAGCGATTTCAGTACAAGTAATAGGAATCTCGGACTGCACTTCTGTTTGAATTGTCACTACTATTGTATGGTGTCCCTCATCATTGGAATCAAAAGAATTAGGTTGAAATGACGGTAATCTACTCAAACCATCGACTTTACCAAAATTTTTTTGTAGATATGTATTCAATGTCATACGTATAGTTAGACAGTATTAGTGCCCAACGCTGAAGTCTATTGGCAGTTGTGGTAGGTACCCCTTTCTTAGATCCAAAGATTGTAAGCAAGGGTCTGTAAAATGAAATGTTTCCCCAGTAGATATGGGCGAAACTTCTTTATCGCAAAAATGATGGCCAGCCCTTCTCTTTCTATTTGAGAATAGTTCGCTTCAGTGGAAGTCAATGTTTTCGAAGCATATGCAATAGGCTTTTCAGAGTTGTCAGGAAATCTATGAAAAATTGCAGCACCGATTCCTACAGCTGATGCATCTGCAGCAAGAATGATGGGTAACTCTGGCTTGTAATGTGTTAGTATAGGTGCATTCATTAACAAGGCTTTTAATTTGTTGAAACTGCGTTTACATTGGTCAGTCCACAACCAATCTACTCCTTTCTTCCGCAGTTGATTTAAAGGATAACAAACTTTAGAAAATTCTGGTATGAATTTGGAGTAGTATGTAATAATCCCTAAAAATGCCTCAAATTCTTTGACATGTGATGGTTGTGGCATATCGACAATGCCTTGAACTTTAGAATCCGAAACTTGTAAGCCATTTTTAGTTATTACAAACCCAAGATATGTCACTGTTTCTTCCATAAACTTGCATTTGTCTTTGTTCAATTGGAATCCAAACTCTTTAATTTTATTGAAAGTACTCTCTAGATTTTTGTAGTGTTCTTCATCATTGTGCCCTGTAACAATTATATCATCAAGATAGTTTGCTACGCCTCGCAACCCATTCAACATGTTGTACATAACTTGAGAAAATATAGCTGGAGCGGATGCGATTCCAAAACAAAGTTGCTTGTATCTGTAAAGTCCTTTAATGGTATTAATCACTAGTAAGTCTTGCGAATCTCTATCAACTGGTATTGACAAGTAGGTATCACATAAATCTATGACTGAGAATTTTTCTCCTCCATTCAATTTAGTAAATATTTCCTCAGGTGTAGTTAGAGGAAACTTCTGAATCTTTAAAGCCTGATTTAATCCTGTTGAAAAATCTGCACAAAAATCTGCACAAATTCTTATTTGACCAGAAGGTTTTTTGACAACTACACAAGGTGCAGCCCAATCAGAATAGTCAATTGGTTCTATCAGATCAGCTTCTACAAGCCTGTCGATTTCCTCGCACACTTTGTCCTTTATTGCAAATGGAACTGGCCTTGCCTTCTTGTAAATAGGAGAAGCGTCTTCCTTTAAAATTAAGTGTGCCGTGAATTTTGTACAATGGCCGTTTTTGTTACAAAAGAGGTCCTTATTATAATCAATTAGTTTACTCAAGCTAATTCTTGGAAGTGAACTTTGAAACCCTGACCTTGAAATGTCATCAACTTCCTTGGAAACCCATAAAGAATCACTTTGTAATGAATTAAGTGGCAATTCGTTGATTTTAAGCTCCTCGATCCAGTCTCTACCTAAAAGATCCTGAAAGCCACCTTCAGCAACGTACAGCTTTAGCTCTCTTTTAGTTTTCCTGAATGCCACTTTAACTGTTTGTTCACCAATCAAGTTTATGCAATGACCACTATAAGATGTCATTTTTGTATTTGAATGTAACAAAGGAAATTTTCCCAATCTTTCCAAGTTTGTCGACATATAACAGAAACACAACTTCCTGTATCTAGTTGCATATTAATTAAAATACTATTGATACAGATAGAAACCCAAATTGGAGAAAATACACTCACATTATGACACTGAAGACCAAGAGAAAAAATAGCTTCATTTGTCAACTTAGGTGAACAATCAAGTATGTTAGAGTCGATAACGGTTCTAGAATCTCTTCCTTTTTCATTTTCAGTGAAATTTACTTGGCGGTTGTACGTTCATTTTCCATGTCCACCAATTGTTTTGTTTTGAAAATCCGTTCTACTTTTAATTTTGCAAACTTCTGCCAAGTGACCTTTTGTATCACAATTATTACATATTGCATTTCTAAATCTACATTGTTTCCTAAAATGGTTACCACCACAAGAATAGCATAAATAGTTTGAATTTGTAATTAGAACCTCTCCATTGCTCTCATAATCGGAAAATGAAATCAGATTTTTCTTTGCTGAAGTGGTAAAAACTTAACTTAATGTTCTAGCGAATTCAAGTACAGTATTGAAATCTGTGTAATCTTTCTGAAGTAAATTGGCTCTAATAGAATCTTCATTTATGCCCATTATGAAAGATGTAATGAGAGCATCTTGATAAAAGTCACCAGGGAAATCACAACTAACTTTACTGGCTTGAAATGCTTTACCAAAAGTTCATAAAGTTAATTCACAAATATCT